GGGGCGGGACAAGCGGTTGTTATAGGGGACGCAGGTGGGGGGGCAAGATGGGTTCATCAATCAGGCGTGGTGGAGCCCTCTTCAGTTGCTGCATGCACGCCGCCTGCGCCATAGCCCCTGCGAGCCTTCGTCGCCATCCATGCCACATCAGACCCCGCCAAGGGCGGAGCGCGATCTCGAGATCTCGAGATCTCGAGGGCGCCCCTCACCGGGGTCATGAGGACGGTGGAGACGATCAGCTGCAGCTTGAGGGTCGACTCGATCTCTGAGATCTTGGTGGCGGGCTTGAGATCGGTGGCGATGAGAGTGACCAGGACGCAGGTCAGGATGCCCGTGGCGCTGATCAGCAGGGGGAACATCATGCCTGCCGATATGAATCAAGGGTGGAGCAGAAAAGACGGCGACAGGGGCGCGGGTGAGCATAGCGGCACATGATGTACATCAGGGCCGCCACACCACCGGAGCCACTCCGCGGGCACGCCCCCTGCCGTGGCCCCACCGACGACCGCTTCGCATCTCAAATGCGCAGCCGGCCTCCCACGGCCGCCTCGCGCCTCCGAGGCCGCGCGTGCCCCCCGGAGTCGCCTGGCCCGTTTCAACGCCCGCCCCCCAAAATCCCACCGGGCCAGTCGTGGCTCCTGCCCAGAGAGGACACAGCAGAGACCACCAGAGCGGCGCAGGTCGACTCAGCGAAAGAGCCGAACAGGTCGGCGCCCATGCCGGCAATGTCACCCACGTTGTCGCCCACGTTGTCTGGGCGTTACCATTACATGAGTGTTGCAAAGGGCGGGATGCATGTCGTTTGAGAGCTGCTACAAAGGACAGGAGGGGGCAAGCCAAGCGCTGCGGCTGCGGCAGGCTGCAAGGCAACGGCCGGCTGGGGTCGCAGGCGTGTGCAGCGGGCGTCAATCAGGGTCCCATGCGCGGCGGCGGCGGCGGCGGCGGAAGGGGCTGCGCACCGGCGATCACGGCGGGGTTGCGGGGGTCGTCCTCCGGAATGTCTTTCTCCACCTTGCCCACCAGGTCGGCGCCCACGTCAGCAGCCTGCGGGTGAATTGGTTGATCGCGCGGCGTCCGTGAGATCAAAAGGTGGCCGTCGTGCACGGGACCGAGGGAGCTGCCGCGGGCACCTGCGCCAGGCTGCCGGCGCCGCCGCAGCCAGACGGGCGGGCGCGGACGCTGGTGTCTTCCCAGCAGCTGCCGCCCGGGGCTGTTTCGACCCCGGCCCATCCTGCTGCCACCACATCCGGCCGGTGGCCATGCGCTTGCTTGAGTGTCTCGCGCCTTGGACCCGCACACGATCCGCCAGCTCTCGGTTCACACACTCAACCAGACCTAACCCTGCATCCTCTGCGTGCACACACACACACACACACACACATGTACACACACACACGCACGCACGTATGCACACGCACGCACACACATTCATGCACACACATACATACAAGCACGCGAGCACACAAGCACGTACACACACGCACACACACACATGCATGCGGCGCGCGACCCAGCGGCCCACCTTGGTGTAGATGCCGCCGCCCACGCGGCCGAACAGCGCGATGGAGGAGCCGCCCAGGCCGTAGCCCGTGATCGCCTCAAAGAGCCCCTTCCAGTCCTCACCGTAAAACTGACAAGTTTAGGGCGTCGCGCGTCGCGGCGGCGCACGAAAACAGCGCGTTGTGTGCGTGAGCGTGTGAGGGGCGAATCCGCTGCTTTGTGCGGAATCCTGCTTGCGGGGACGGGAGACAGGAGCCACGTGGCCGCAGCGGGAAGCTGCGCCGCCGCGGCAGCCTTCACAGCACCCCGCTGGCCGCAGCGACGGCCGCGGCCGGCCTGGCCCACCAGGCCGCGCAGCCTGCGTCCACTCCCCTGAGCTGACATCTGCTGCAGGGCGTGCTCAGGCCCAGACTCTGCCCAAAGGACCCCTGCCATCTACCGGATATCTGCAGAGCCCCGCGTCCCCCCTTACGCTGGCCATCTGCAAAGCATCACTGACCCCTGGAACTGAACTGGAACTGAAGTGGAAGTAAACCATGCAAAGCGCCCCCCCCCCCCCCACACACCTTGCCAAAGATGATGATTGCGAGGTACAGGTTGAGCAGGCCCAGGCTGGACAGCAGGAAGCCCATCACAGCGCCGGAGCGGAACGCTGCAATAGCATAGCATCGGCATCACATCGTACTTAAGAGTAAGGTCGATCGGCCAACGGCTCGGATGCGCGTCCTTCGGGCACGCCCCAACCGCCCCGTTGGCATGCGCGCGGGGCCCGCTCACCGCACATGAACGCTGGCGCGATGCCGCGGCGCGCCTCGATGGCAGTGCGGGCGTTTGCGTACGTCGCGATCTTCATGCCCAGGTAGCCGGACAGGCACGACGTGAGCGCGCCGAGGACAAAGGCGACGGTCGAGAAGAGGCCGTTGCGGACCTCGTCCTTGCGGGTGCGGCCGTCCTCGGGGGCGATGGAGCCGAGGAGGGCGAAGATGAGGACCGACATGATCACCTGGGG